GGGCAGGTGGTAAATTTAACATTGGTGTAAGACTGATAATGACTGCAATAAAAGAAAGTTGAAAATAAATATGGAAAAGAGAAACTAATTTTTTTTTCAGCTTGATATATTTGCACTTGCAGTTCCCTTCTCTCTCAGAATGCAGAACCAAGCGGCATTAAGCAGGACCTTCATAGGCTGGACAACCCACCACAACATCACAGCAGTTTGCAAAGACAAATGCCCAGTTCTGCGATTAGGGTGGAGTAACCCATGCACTGATACAGGCTGGGATGGACTGGGTAGGTAGCAGTTCTACAGGACAAGCCTGGGAGCCTGGGAGATATCAAGTTGAACAGAAGTCTTGTGATGAGAGAGACGTGCTGTACTGTGTTAGCAAGGGCAGAGAGGGGAGAAGCATGAACTAAAGAGATGTCTAGATGCAATATTTCTACTTTCAGGACAGCTGTTGAATTTTTATTCAATGAATCTTTAAGGTAGAATGCTTAAATTTGGATCAGTGCAATGGTGACAACTGAGGTCTCTTCCTCCTTGAGAAAAATGCCTTGTTAAGAGTCAAGCAGTGCTGGTTTTTTTACATCACATTCTCAGCCTGGCATAGACTCTGTTTGCTTTTCAAAGTGCTTATAACTTCTGCTTTTTCAGTGAAGGAATGAGCAACTTCAGAGATTTCACATCCATACACTACCTCCTGGATAAGAAGTGCAAACTTCCTTTTCGGAGAAATGATCTATAAAAAAAAAGCATGTTAAAAAGCCATGGCTTAAAAATCTCTCCGATCTCTCGAATAGAGTGGTTTAGGTGTTTGTCAAAACAATTAGGGGTTTGAGTTGTTTCTGGCAGAGTAAGGCATCAAAGCTATGTCTCCTTTAATCCCTATCATTATCATGTCAGCTGAATATAAGGCATTAGGTCAGCTGAAGGTGAGACCTAGAAAGGCTACAGTCTACAGGTTGGTAAGCAACTTGCTTGACCTTATGTGGGAGCCAAAGAGATTATGAGAAAAGATCACGTTTGGAATGTGTGTGTTAGGAGGTTGAATGGGGAATGTGGAGTTAAGGAAACATGCCATTCATCATGATTGCAATTATCAGAAGTGGTCACATATGGAATCCATCAGTTCTGGTGGTGAGTGTAGGAACCATAGTCCCACTGTTTCCAGGACCACTATATCCAAACGTTTGAGCCAAAAAGCATTAATAGACCTAAGACAGTTCTGAGCAACATCATTCAAGTGTTGTGCATTATCCATGGAGCAGGAATAAAACCAAGACACAAAGTGTTTCTGTTTGTGCCTGTTAACCAACGCTATTATGCACAAATTCAAGCTATTGTATATTGGGCTTTCTGCAGTCATGATTAAAATTATCTGTGATTGAAATAAAAATTAGATGAAATAAAAATTCATTGCCCAGGGGAGCAACGAATGTCACATAGGAATGTGGTAAAGCAAGACCATCCTTGTAACATAAATGGTTCATATGTGATTTTGCTGGTTGTTATGATTCTACTTCACTTCCCAAATGTGTCACTGCGGATATGCCTGTGGATGCAAAACATGAAAATTATCGGAAATGTTGTTGTGTCACTTCAGAACACAAGACTTGATGAGCCATTTTGCTGTACTTTTGCTGAAACTGTTATGTCTCTATATTTAGACGTAGTTTGTTTTTGAGCTGTGGTTACAGTTATTCATTTTCAATTGGGCATGAAACACTGACAAGACATGCACTGATGAGTTTCCACAAGTTGTCCTGAAGCTTCATATTAATTTTTTTCACAGGGAGAATTTTTTTTTTTCTTTCTGTTTTTCAGGATGTCTCAGAAGAATTTTCCATTCTGTGTTGTAACTAAATTTAATTTGAAAACTCTTCTTGGTCACTTACTGCATACCAGCTGCAGTTATTTAGCATTATTTTAAGAATTCAGTTTATCTAATCTGTCATAGGTCAGAGAAATAGACTTTACTTCAAGTTTTGAAAATTGATTTTTTTTTTAATTTTGTTTCTTTTGTGGTGTTCTAAAGGCATATCTACCTGCAAAAGCTCATTGCAGGAGTCTTAAGAAAGCACATTACTTTTCACATATCCAAGTGACATAATGAAAATAAACTCTTAGCTGTTGTTGTCTTTTAATATAATGTTTATGGTTTTTTTACCTACAAATGGTAGTTAATAATACTGGTTGTAACAAAGAAATAAAATGCATTCTTACACTCCTAGAAACCAAACCTCTCTAATCTTACTAAACTCACTTTATACTGAAGACTTGAATTAAAAAAAAAAAAATTACTCTGGATAAAATACTGTTGTCTTGAAGAGGAGAGTATCACAATAAATGTAGTCCTGCATGAGCAAGACCATCTTTTTTATCTGATATGTCCTGCCAAAGTTCTTCTAGATCTGTACGTCTAATTTTGTTGCTGTAACTCAGAGCAGTCCACTCTGCTGTTTACTCTGGTGAGGACATACCCTTTTGCCTGCAGATGGTGCTGCTCAGGATCACATTTTTCCCCCTTGCCCATCACAGGCTGGTTCCACAGTTGTGCAATTGTCTTCTCTTTTGCTGACGTTTTTTAAAGTCTCCATTGTCTAGTTGCATCCAGTGTTCCAAGTTTTCTATGTTAGCAAATACTTTTACTTTTTATGGACAAATTATCCAATTATTCTTTCAGGAGAGGCATGAACTTATCCATCTTTTCAGGATTGTGGGTTGCACTGATGCTTTACAGCATGCTTGGCCACAGAAATGCAGTTTGGCCAAAGCAATACAGAGTACAACAGACTGCTGATTGGCCACACTGTCCTTTAGACTTATCACAGTAAACCCCTTCTCCCATCTAAATGTGACAGAATTGCACAGAGATAAGCACACTCGTCGTGTAGTGACATTTTGAGAAGCACGAGGGCTCATATGCCTCATGTTAATAAAATCTGTTGCTCCTGCTTCTCAACTCAGTTTAGGGCCACAGGGAAAAAGCAGTAGAATTAAATTGACCCCATACAACCTAGTGTAGTATGCCTAGGTGAAGCATGTTCTCCTATTTTTCCTTAGATGAAAATTCATACCAAATTAAATAGGCTTGAAACATAGGTTGTGAAGAAAAATGTAATGCCGCAAAAATATTAAAACAATGAAGTTTTAATCAAAAAGATAAGGTTTAAACCATGATGATTATAATGTGAGTTCTCAGACAAACAAGTAAGTGTACAACTCAGATTTTGATGAGGTGTTTGGAAATCACCGAAATTATGAAATTTTAATACAGATTTCCATTCAGTACCAGGTTACACACCATGTTAATGTCTTAATTCCTCAGTTAGAGATTTTTTATGCATCATGGTATGCAAATGAACTTCAGAAAATATTCTATATCATGAATTCACACTTGTTAATATCACTAGACAGGATACAGAAGTGCAGTTACAGGTAGATGTTAAAATGGCAGGAGAGGGATAACTTGCCTGTATATCTCAAAGGAGACAGTGGAAAATAATGAAAATAAAATTTTGTTATTTGTCATAAGGATTATAGTAGAAAGAAAAAAAGGAATAATAGGAAATTCTATATTATCATTAACAAAGAGATGTTTGAGTGAAAAAATTACCCTGCTATAGGATATATATCTCCATTTTTAGAATGTTTTTAAGGATTATCCAATATTAGTATTTGTACAGTAATAATGTTTGCTAAGTATTTCAAATTTATTTTGGGGAACACTTCAAAATGTCTTTATCAATATCTTTCTCCTCTAAATGGAAATCATTAGAAAACCTTTTTTTCTCTTAGGTCACCACAAGAGTTATGATAGAACTCAGGGTTGAAAAGCACTCATCCTTAATTTTGATCACAACAAGTCATTCTTTATGGATACCACCTATTTAATTTTCCCCCCCTGACATTCCAGCAGAATCCAAATGAATCATTCTAATCTTAAATTTTAAAATACGTTTAATCTAGACTCATGTTGGAGAGCAGAAATTAAAAGATACATGGATTATAATAAAAGATTTCTAGATTTTTTTTCTTGAGAGTGGATATAAGCTATGCATTCTTAGCCATTGCTACATGTTTTTTGAGGATTATTATGGTTGAGATTGTGCAGTTATTGAAATATTTTTTTACAATTAAAAATGAGATAACTATATTATTAATGTTAATCCCCTCCTTTTTCAAATAATCCCAGAGATAATGAGCTAAATATCTCAGTTCTACAAAGGCTTCAATTCAGTATCATAAATCATAGAATCTTAATCATAGGATGGCTTGAGTTGGAAGAGACTTTAAAAATCACCTAGATCCAACACTCTTGCCATGGGCAGGGCACCTTCCACTAGACCAGGTTACTCAGATCTCCAACCACCCTGGCCTTGAACACTTCCAGGGTTGGGGCGTCCACAACTTCTGTGGGCAAACTGTTCCAGTGACTCACCACTCTCATGTTAAAGGATTTATTCCTAATAGCTGATTGAAACCTACTCTCAGTTTGAAACCATTCCTGCTTATCTACCACTGCAGACTCATGTCTAGTTTTTACACCTGGGTATTGCATGCTAAGCATGATTTCAGCTTGTTCACATTGGCCCTTTATGAACAAGGGCAGGAATATCTGGCTTGGCAACCCTGTGTCCCTTTTTCCTGACTGAGCCAGGCTATGATTAGTGTGCAGCATATGGACCTTTGTATTTCAGTAGTGTTTCAGATCCACAGTGTAAATGTGGTCATGGCACTTGCTGAAAAAATAAAACTCCTGACTGAACTGCTTCTGAATTATTTCAACTATATATTCTCTGAAGGTAACTAAAATACAAGTTTGGTCAGTCTTAAGTAGTTTTGTTTTGTTTGACGGTTATTTAAGTTATCATGCACAATGCACCTGTACATTTTAATGCTCTTTGGAGTTCAGTGAGAACATTTAAAAACTATCCCAACTGTGACATTTATTATAACAAAAAATATTAAATGTCTTTCCTGTTGTAATCACTAATATGCTTTCCTACCTGTATTATAATGCTTGGTGCAGTAACATAAATCCTTTTCTTCTTTCAACAGAAACTGTGGCAGAGTGAGACCTTCTGCTACTTGAACTGCTCCCTTTTCTTGCCACTCAAAAATGAGATCATTCATTGTGTATCCAACTAAAAAAAAAGAAAAAAACCAAATTGTAAGTCAGTGGCAAACTTTGAAAAGCAGGAATGTACCAAACTATAATGTTTTAAGTAAATTTCATAAAAAGGAGGTAATACAGCTTGTACCTGTTAATCCTGAATTATTATGTGCCATTCTATACAATATTGAACAAGAGAAAAAAAGAAAAAGGTTTTCTTATGAATCTCTTTTTAAATCTTAGTAATCGGGTGGTCTATTAATGGATTAAACCGAAGCATCTAAATTAGCTAAACCTCCAGGTCTCTTGGGTGTTTGGGAACATCTTATCCTCCCCAAACTATGAAGGATAAAATAAGCCCTTCACACTCAGATCTCTTCCTCCTTTTACTAGAGGTGAAATGGTGGATTGTCAAAGCTGTTTTTATGGATTTATGTTAATTTGAATTGTTAGGTGAAAATTCTTCAAAAAATGGAAATTTTTGCAGTAGTAGTAGTCAAATTGAAAAATTGCTTTTCTCTGAAACTGGAACAACACACGGGAAAGCAATTCATTGTAATCTTCTCATACAAACTGTCTGTGACACATAATGATATTAAAAAGCATTCAGTTTTACTATTCCTGCACTTATCCATACCTCCTGCATGTGTGTATAAGATTAAATATAACAGCAAAAGCCATAGTAATTGAGGGCCAGACTTCGCAAAGAACAAGTACTTTTTCCTTCTGTTTTCATCTCTCAGATGAATATTTGCATGGGATATCATTGGGGAAAATATCCCTACATCCTCTGCATATGTTAACTTTCCAGGATATCCATGATATTTTATTCTAATTTTTTTCTGAAAAAAAATTATCTGGTTATTACAACTGGAAGAAAAAAGTTTCCTTTTCTCATTCAGGTTTCATTAAGACTTTCTCAGAATCTAATAGATATGGACAACGTGATATTTTAAGGCTGAAATCTAAAACTATATAGCTTCTGCTGTTGTGACAGGTTGAATGACAAGGGTACACATATACCAGAAGGAACCAAAAGGAAAAGGGAGCAATTTTTTCATCTAATTTATATAGCTTTCAGTTTCTTTGCAATATTTCCTTTCTACTTTAGTGTGATGTTAAAGAGCTGCTGAAGACAACCTACTTATAACTGGAAAATCTTTTAACCTTTCAATGACAAACTACTGTTTAAAGTGTATTGTTCAGAACTTACTAAGAGTAACTGTTTGCCCACAAGTACTGACATTTTGAGTTCCAGTGAAGAAAATAACATTGTTATGTGAGCACAAATCTTACCCCTGTTATATTCAATTACTTCATTACTCTTTGAATACACCTATAAATGGCATTCAGTCATACGCAATGACCTGATCTGCTGACCTGAAATCTTCAATACACTTCATCTTTTCTGATCTGTCTATGTCGAATGAACCTAGAAGGTAAGAATTAGTGTTTACAAATTTTAAAATGCTTTCAGCACTTCTGCCTTCTAGATTCTTGATGTTCATTTTGAGAAGAACCTTTACACAAGGTATTCACAGGGACTCAGGCTGACTTTTGGTTTATTTTAATATTTTGTCAGGGATAGATGAATATGCTAAAATGAGACCATATCCTTTTAAATAAGTATTTAATTAAGATCAAATATTACTCAAGTAATACAATCATACATCAACTGTGCAAGGAGACATTTTTCTATCTTAATGATTGCATGATATTCCATAAACACAGTCTAAAAATTCACTATTAAATGCCATAAACTATGAAAAGTCAGAAGTATATATCTTATCAAACTTTGCATGAATTCAAACAAAAAGCAGTCGTGTGTAAAGCAGATTATCATTTGAAGCATGTAGATCATGACCAGAGGTGATATCCCCCTGAATAAACTCATTGAACTGGCAAGAAACAACTGCTGCATCAAAATGTATTTCACTAAATCAGATTCATTCATCTCTAATGTATGCTTTTAATTTTGATTATCCAGCCTGCCCACTAATTCATCAAGTAAAAATAATGAAAATTAAAAAAAATATCGGTGTAGTCAAAATGCTGATGTAGTAATTAATTTTTGTTATGTTTACATTTTAAATACCGAAATATAGCTTTAGTATTCAATACTGTAACTTCAGTTTTGTGAGTCAAGGTCGTAGTTATAATGTAAATCTGTCTTATAACATAAAGGACTTAATGGAGATGCGAGAGATGTGAGTTTACATTATACCAAATAAATTTAAAATAGTATAATGTTTCCACTAGGTATGTTAAATTAACTTGAATTAGATATCAATTAAATTTATGACCCTTTGTTAAATGGGAAATACATGGTCCTATCAAATGTGTTCACTGAATTATGGAAATCTGAAGTCTTGTAATAGTCCCCTGGGGAAGTTAGAAAATATAAATTATGCAAACTTACTGAACTATTTGATGACACAAATTTGTCTCTAAATCTTCTTTAGTGATCAGTGTTAACAAGGAGAGTTATTCTTGATTATACAACTGAAAATATTTCATTATTTGGTATAGTTCCAAATGAATTGATGATCTCTATTTTTTTCCAACCACTACATCATTCTTTCTTCTGTTATTATCAGTGGCTGGGAAATACAATGTTATATAGGAAAGTCCTAGTGGTTACATTTTATTGTTGAAAAAAGGACAGTCAGTCACTAGCCTAGGTAGTATATGAGGGTGCTGATCACTTTTAGTCGCTGATGCAAAAAGTGAACCTTTTATTCTGCATAAATAGCTGAAAGCAATGTCCATCTAGCATTGTCTGCAGGACCAGGTCAACCTAAACTAAATCAGGTGGGTTAGTAAAGATTTCTGTCACTGAAATGCAGTGTGCTAGGGTTTGGGTTGCAGGGCATGGATGCATGAAGGTTGAGAAAGGAAGTAGAGCTGCCAAACTGTGTTTTATGGGACACAAACCAGCTACTGTGGGTGAAAAGTGCAGTTTTCAATGTATTTTGTTTTCGTCTGGCTACTGTGCAGGTACTTGCTCTTGCTTAATTCTAAAAAGATATCACTAATCACACAAAATCTAAGTGGTGTAATCATAGGACTAGAAAGAAAGGACAGAAAAAACAACATTGTTATGTTGAACAGTGGTGTTCAGAAGGTACAGGACTGGTTAAATTACATTAATACTCTTCTGACCAAAGGTCTGAGGTCTTGCACATCTGAAGTGCAAAAAACAGGTGGTAAATAGTTGGTAATTAGGCGACAAAAATATCATCCAGGGAGGAGAAGGTTGCCAGAGGGATTATTTCTCAGGAACACTCAAGAACTGTGTGAATGCATGGCACTGTAGCCTCTGTGCAAACAGCTCTCTTAAATGGACAAGTAATTTTTAAGCGGCTGAAGTCATTCCAGGTAATTAGCTGGATAAGCATTATACTGGTAGACTGAGAGCTCTGCCTGAGATGACTATGAAGAACTGGCAAATTAAGTAGAAATTTGAATTATCTGGAAGGGAAGAGGGCCTGAAACAACTGGGCATCTTGGATTTGGCCTACAAAAATTTTACTTTCGAAAATGATCTGCCACAGTTGGTGGTAAGCATGGTAAAATAAAAGTAAAACCCTGAGTGGTCACACTAATGGAGGGAGAAGGTGGAAAAATTAAGGCCTTGATAAAAAGTGGTTTTCAGGACTTGTGCCCTGGATGGTTGTTGCAGGATTTTTAATATCCAGACAACAAATAAAATGAACAAATAGGGTTCCATTTGAACCACATCTATCCACATGACTCTACAGAACGTATTGGAACTAAGCTGTATCAGTTGCATACGTGCATGCTAAGAGTAGGAAGATTTTATCTTAGCTAATTCAATATCAATGGTAGGCATTAAAAACCCATTATCTCATAGGTAAAACAGAGACCATACAAGAAGTTTGTCTTGATGGTTATTGAAGTGTCTAACATCTCTTCTCCTGCTTGTCCAAGAACTACATCGTTACAGAAAAACAAAATTTGTTATTCAAGGCAAACAATTCACCTGCACCTTCAGAGACTCCACACCTTTGAAGTGTCATTACCTTCCCAATTCCAAGATAATTCCTTTCTTACATGTGCTGACACAGTCTTATTTGCTAAGTTCATTCATTTTAATCACCTTTAGCATGACATTCCAAGTCACAAGGAATAAAATTTTTGAGCAAACTTGGGCTAAAGCTGAATAACAATATATCTTGTAAATTTTCTGCTCTTTCTATTTTATTACAGGAAGGCTGTGCTTCCCTTGTGTCATTTTACAATCCCTACAGGTACATTAAGACCCAACTCTTTTCCTCATGTTCAAGAAACAAACACATAAATCACATGAAAAAACTGAGCAAAATATCTACTCTTTTTGTAAAAGAGAGTTTGGTTCAACTACAGAATTTATTTTTTAATTTTTAATCCCAGTGGTTTATCTAAATTCCATTCTCATTTATTTAATTTTAAAAAGTAAGGTACAGGCCCAAAAGTAAGATTGGATTTAGTCAGCAAACCAAGCCATTCTTTAGGTATCCAGCTGATGCAATGACTACAGTCATGTTGACTAGAGTTATTTCACTCCTCTTCTGTTAGACGTCACAGCAGTTTGCCTCCAGAACAGGCTGCTTGGACACTACTGCTCCTAAGAACATGACAGATATTTGAATTGTGCCTTAAATTCCAGGCAACATAGCGGGGGGAAGATGTGACAGAGCTAACAAATCTGGTTTTGGCTTGAGGTTAGAACAAATTCTTCTACCATATGCACTAAAAATATCAGCTTCAAAAATCATCTGTGATTCATTTTCAAGGCTAAATTTATGCTGGAGCTTCAGGAAAACAGAATTCTATGCAATGTCCTTCTGAACTGCTTTGCAAAGGGTCTGCCTCTTACACTGCCCTCTAAGCCATTCTGATGGAATTTCTTGGGAATTATAGGTTTATCCCTCTTGGCCTGAATTTCAGAGAAGAATAGCATTTCAGGCTCAGTACGCTAGCACATCTCTCAAAGCTAATATTCCTTGCTGGACTGTACAGATTTTCAGCTGTCAGTTTTATGTTAGTTTCTGTATGTTCAGCAGCAGTTGTACAATTACTGCTGCCCTTTCATCCTGTGTTGGTCAGGAGCTGAAGACTACAAGTATCTTGATTTTTGTAGCTGTGTGTCAGGTCTCGTTTCAGATAGGCACAATAGGCTGAGTTACCCATCTGCAGAGTGGAAAACACAGGATGAGTTGTTGACAATTTTTATGCTACTGAAATGGAAAGGAGAGAAGTGGCATGGTTTCTACATTTTCTGGCACAGGCAGACACTGACCTGGTCTCTCCATAATCTCTGTCATTCAGGTAGAGACCTGAGGTTTCCTGGCAGATAAGAAATATGCTCCAGTTCTTTTATCTTATGGTGTCTTTGTGCTGTTGTGGGAAATGAACAATGTGCATTTTCTGTAACACATTAGTTTGTACCACTGCAGCTTGCCTACACATCTTTTCACTCGTACAATCAACAATTTAGAGGTTGGTGGGAAAGAAATTGTGCAACTCAGTATCATGTAGTATGGAATGATTTTTTTTTAACAATCCAAAAGACAAGAGTGTTATTACTTAGAAAGACTAAAAAGCCTTCATAAATCAAAAGGGAAAATAAAAAGACCATTGTTTAACTTAATAATAAGCATCAAATTAAAATTATGCAGTAAGCAGGTGCTTTTCATAGTGTATTTTTTCTCTTGTAACTGAGTTATTATTTTCATTATTTTTTGAGAATTCAGGAATATTAAATGTTACATAAAGTTATAATTGTAATATATGAACAAAGAAATGCTGTGAGATAAAAGTGAAACTTAAAAAAGAGAGACAACAAGCTCTAGCACATGAAAGAAAAACATTTCTTTCCTGGGAGACAGACCATGAAATAAATATGTATCTAGCTGACATTTCTTTGTATCTTATTCAAGCAGAATAAAATTAAAATTATCTCACATGCCTAAAGGCTGCCCTAGTATAAGGCAAAGAAATGTAGAAGGGATTATTTCATATATGCATTTTCATTTACTTTCTTTCTAAGATACAAAAGCAGCTTATTCTAGTTGCTGAGGAACCATTTGTTAAAATAAATCCTTTAAAAATAGAAGACATTTCCACTTAAATATTTTTCGACCCCTTCATGATATAAGTGAATTACTTTTACTAGGGGCAAATACAACTACTTAGGCTGATCTTGGAAAAAACAGAGCCAGGTAAAAATAAAAATATCATTTGTGAAGAAAAGCTATAAATGAATTTTCCTCTTAGACCTTCCTATACTGGAGCAACAGTATCAATATTGAAGGAAAGTATCTAGTACTAAAAGAAATAATTATTTAAAGTAGAGGTAAAATGCATCATCTCTCTAGGTAACTGTCAGTCTTTGCAACCTGGAAGTAAGATAAGTAAGAAAAAGATGAGTGATTTAGTCTAATTTTCTTAATGACACATACAGGAGCAAGGCTTTCAAGATCAGATACATTTTAAAGCAACTATGAGATAAGTGGGCCTTGTAAATTCATAACTGTACAATGTTCGACCAAACTTGGCACTTAGTGGAAAAAACAGCAATGATCACCACTTTAAAAAGAAACACCTGGAAGCATGGCTACTGCTGTTTTGCTCCTGCAAACACTTTGATTTTTAAACAACAGACTGATGGTCAGATCATTTACTCAGGACAGGAGAGGTCTGTGCTCTCAGTTTTGAAACAAATGTCTTCCACTTCCCCAGACAGGGCAATAACCACAAGGGTTATGGCTTCGATTCCTCTGTTTGCATTGTCTCATTGTGCACCATAAAATGCAAGCTAGACAGTAACAAGAGAGTATGACACTGTGGCCTAGAAATTAGAGGTGCTTGGACGGATTCAGGCTCTCAGGGTTATGTCAGTTCATACCTCAGGAGATTTGATGGGAAAATGCCGAATGCACCCAACTCCTTTTTTCTTCTGTAATTTTAAATAGAAGTGAATGCCTTTTCTTAGGCAGAGACTCTGGAATTTGAATGTTTCTGCTCACCCTTTTCAAAGTATTGCAAATTGGGTAGAGTTCACATTTATATAAGCTTTTTTTTTTTTCTTTTTAGCCTAGTTACTCTCCTGCATAGCATGTAGATATTTTTTGTAAACTTCCAATTTGTCTATTTCTTTTCCTGTCTTTCCTGTACAGAGAAACTGGCTATGGACAGGTGAATTCCTGCTCTTGAAGGTCTAGGATCTTGGAACTTAGGTCACTGTACCTATCTGCTTTGGATCTGTCCCAAAATAATTTTGGGGAACTCCTGCCTTGCTCTTGCAAACCTAGCTGGTTATTCCCTATCAGACATGTAAACATAGCCAGAGCTCCCACATGCTGCAAAGTTTTCTGCCTCAGGCCACCTTCTTTTTTCATAGTTTGTTTTTTGCTGTCTGAAGTTACAGCTAGAACAGAATTAGACAAGGCAATATGGGGAAAGCTTTATTACTTGTAACTTCCTTATGAAATAAAATTTGATCTTTCTCTGTAAGTAGAAGCACTCATTTGTATTTTGTTCAGCTCATCTTTTGTGAGCATTACCTCTCTCAACTATGTCAATGTGCAGCTGGGAATTTACTCCCACTGAATTGAATGATTAAAAGCAAGACTACAGTGAAGAATGTTCTGCTGAAAAAGACAGTAGAACATCTACAGAGCTATTCAGCTAATAAGTGTTGGTTCCCTGTGGTGCAGTCTGGGGGAATTGTGGGCTCTTGCAAGGTTTCTATAAAGCATACCAGATACCTGTTTGTTCAAGGATGCTCAGCTGTTGCCTGACCTATCCTCACAATAGCTGAAAGAGAGGTAAAAAGCAGCTGGTTTTATGAAGTTGTTACAGCAACTTTTTATTTTAGTGTTTAGTCACTTTAATTATGCAAGCGACATAGGTTATTGCTAGGATCGTCTGCCTGGGTTGACCACGGAGTTTTGCTTAAATCTCGGATATATATGATATTTTCCTAAATTCCTTGACATTTGTTGCAAATCTCTCAATTTTTGTCAAGAAAATTTCTGCTGTCAGATTCAGCCATTGCCCTCATATTGAAAGCCTGCTTCATAATGTTACCATCTGTCCATTACAGTAAAAGACAGATCTGGCTTTTATACTCAACCTGCAATTTTTTATAAAAGCATATCTTTATTCGTACATTGAACAGTTCTGACATACTGGCTGATAGATAATTACCTCTCCCTCCCCTAAGATGTTACTTTGCTCCAGTAAAAGAAGAAAAAATCCAAGAAATATTTTAATCATATTATGTGTGTTGTGTTTCTCATCTATAATATGCTTCAAATAATCCAGTATGTTCATTCTATATGCAAATTTTTAAAAAAATATTTTGAAATATTTACAGTTACTAAAACTGTAAATCTAGATCATTTAGGTGGACACTTCCTAATATGTTTTGCCCCGTCACTATTTTTCACAAATTTCAGATTACTGGAATCCTTCAAGGAATGCTTTACTTTATTTTATTTTTGTTCTTTGCATCACTGGGAGGATTTTTCCACTAGAAGTCTTTTCAAAGTCCTCTCATTTTAAGGGAAATGGCAAGATCATCACAAGGAAGATGAAAATTTAATGCATATCTATATCTTTCTCCTCATAGATCCTCTGTTAGCTCAGACCATAACATCAGAGAGAAGAGCTGATTTGTCCTGTTGTGAGTGTGTGTATGTGCCTTGAAATGGCATAGCTGCTTTACAGTTTCCATTCTCATATTTCTTTTATACTCTCCCATATTTTTCTCTTCCTGCACGTGTGAATACGGGGAAGACTTATGGTGAAACCCTATATGCAGAAATTTTGTTTCAAGGTAAACTGTCACTGGGTATTTAAGTTTAGTGATAACTTCAGATTTACAGAAAAGTATTGATTATCAGTGCAAATAAGGATGAAAATATCTCTTCCTCTGAAAATCATGTATATTTCAGAGATTCTTTTGGTAAAATAGAAGATTCATTTTGGAAATTTATTTTTGTACCTCTACAAGGGATTTTTCTACCTCCTGCATAATTGTAATCCCTGCAAAAGTATTTATTGGATAATACATTACACAAACTTACAGCTTTCCAGCTGCATTATACATGTTTGCACATCCATTGGAAAATTTTTGAGATCCATCGGACAGGACAGTATTAAAGTCAACCTGAAAGAACACAAAACCCCGTTAAAAATATACCACCAAAATACCATAGAACTGCGCAGGAAGGATGCATGAATACATTAGAGGTAAATAGAAATAGAAACGTTTTCATTAGAAAGCTCTCAAAAAGGATGCATACTAGCTGAACCCATTTAACTCACTTAGCTTAGTATGATAATATGGAAAAAAATTATTGCAGACTTTCAGAAAAACAAGTTTTTCAGTAGGGTTGCCTAACTTTATAAGAAGTCTAAAAGAATGCAGCAACAACGTGCCTTTTTGTACTACAGCAGAGTTATTATACTGTTTCAGTATTTCAAATCCTTGACATAAAATTTACCCAAATCTGCAAGAATTTCATAACATATATCAGCTGCAAATTATGGTGGCAAAGTAATTTATGTGGCATTGTCCTAAAATAAGGTACTTAAAATGTCAACACGGTTTAAGATAGCATTTTATGATTTGGATGGTAAACTGAGATATGCCTGTAATTTTGAACTGCAGCTGTGTTTTATGTTAGTCCTGATACTTCCCGTGAAATACTTCGCAACTTGTGGGCAAAAGAGGTATTTTTACATTTTATATAAATACAATAATTTATCTTCAGAGTAATACTTCTCAATGGAATGAGAAAGAAGAACATAAGAGATAAAGGCGCATGTTTTCCCTCACTGGCCATTTTTAGGTATCCATTCATCATTTGTGGACATTACTGTAATGTCATTAATCAGTTCAGTTGATAGAATGTCCTACAAAAACCTGAGGAACTTGAATTCAAGACCTGACATATAAGGCTTTTCTAGCATGGGAATGCTCTAATCCTCCTCTCTTAAACCCATTACCCTGTTTTTGTCATTGGGGCTAAAGGGAAGTGGGCAGTAGGTGCCAAGTATGGCTGTATATTATTTTATGTATTTTTTTTTTTCTGACCAAATCTTCTTGATTCATTCTTTCCATAATTTCTGTTTAGCCTGCAAGTGACAGAGCTGCAGGGTAAGAGACTGAGGAGGCAAGTCAGATGCAGGCTCTATTCCTATGCTATTAAAAACAGTTGCTAATGCAAAATCAGACTAGTAGGCTGGTAACACAGCAAGTCATCTCAAAGAAGATGCACCTGTATTTTATGCTTCAGTAAATATTTTAGTATTTTCTATTAAGTATTCATTGAATAGGCACTGTAACCTTCCATTATTTTCTTGTCTGAATTTTCAAATGCAATTAGGGGAAGAGACATTAAGGAATGAAAGAAAAAAGCAAATTTAGAAAACTTCTTTTATTTTCTTTGAATATTAACACATTAGCAATTAGCATGTCTCCTCTTGTCAAAAGCTTAACTGACTGAAATGCACATAACAATTAAACTACACGCCAATGGTATGATTTTAAATTTGTTTCAGAAATTGCAATAGTCCTTAATTAAATCATGGCAACATAAACTTTCTGGCTTCATAAGAAACACAGGAACCATCTGGTATCTGCTTTCATCACATCCAATGTTTTCTTTTGTAATTTAATATTATAATATTTCTCATGTTTGAGGTTTTTTTCCCCATTTCACCTGGGCACAAACTTGAATTCTATTGAAGTTGCAATCCAAATTTGCCTCAGTTGAGCAGTGGGGTCTATATCCTGTGTTGCATGCATCTGAAAGGAGTAGGGCAAGGGGGAGGAGCTACTTGATTAGGGTGGAACAGCTGCCAGTGCCTCTTGGAGTGACTTAGACAGTCTGGAGATAATTGATTTAGATCTACTTTCTACTTGAATCCAGAGAAGGAATCCTTTTAACTTTCTTTCCATCTGTTTCTAGTGACAGAATACAGGTTGTGACACTGAAGACTCACTATGTTCCTAGAGTGGCAGACGAACCTCCTTTTGAATATGAAATGCCCATAAGAATTTTTACCCAATCCTTTCTCCCTGTGTAGGCTGGAAAAGATGCTGCCCACTTGCCTTGGAGGGAGGGAGGAAAGAAGCTGTCTTGCCACTGATACATCCATACAAATCACAAATGTTTGCTTTTTTTTCTGGTATAAAAACTGTTCCTGATATATCTTTAAAGAGTCTGATTGCCCATTAATTAAGAGTCATAAAAGCGTACAAAGTAAAAAACTAAGTGGACAATAGTATATTTATTTTGAAAAGTGTAACATTTTGCACTGCTTCAATACCAAATCTATACCATGTCTAGTGGGCCATTAGCATACTTATATCCAATATATTTCTCATTAGATTGAGTTTTTGAAGACAATGGTAAAATGCCTACTGAGGTCTGTATCTGTATCAATAAAAGTGATAAGAATAGAAGAGAAATGAACTATGATAACTAGATTTTGTCAATACTTATGATTTCTGCTTATAGCTTCTTAAACCTTTTCAAAAGTTTGATTTCCACTTTTCTCTCCAACTCCAGCAGTAAGTGACTAATCTTTAAATGTCATACTTCCTCAAACAGATCATGTTTCCATGTTGAAGGGCAACTTCAATATGCAAAAAGGTGAAAGAGAAATAACGTTTGATTGTCGTGACATTGAAGGCTACAGACTGTGAAACTCGTACATAGACCAACACAGATTATAATACTAGAGGACTGCTTTCTCTGTGCAGTGTCCTAGTTCCTCTAGGCTCAGTACTTGTACTTTAAAATGGGAAAGATACTTTTCTTATTACTTTTACTATGTGCATGCCTAATGAAGGATTATTTTTTAATTTAGTATTAACAGTAATGTTGACAAGGTCTGTGTTCAGAACTCACGTATGATACTTCCGCATGACTAGCAACTGAATATATCTTTTAGCAATTCTTAGGTATACTTTTGAGCTTCTATCTGAAAAAATAATTTGATTAGAGACTTACCTGATGGAATAAAGTACATTTCCATTTTTGAAAATCCGCAACAATTTATTATCTGTTGTAACTTCATGAAAGTTGGCACCTTTTTCATTAGCAAAGAACAAATCAGGTTTCCAAATTGAATCCAGCATGGATGGATCTAAATCTAAAGAGTCATCTGGATATTCACTGTATGCAAGGCGTGGATCATTCCAATTCTGACGGAGAAAGATGTTCACTCGGTAATCCTGAATGAAAGAGAAAACAAGCAGAGCTTTATCAAGCATAGAGATTTAACTTTTATTTCATTTCTTAGCCATGTAATCCCCTGTCCATCTGTGGATGACAACAGAATTACTTAGCTGAGTGCCAGAATGATACCTATTTGTATTAGTGGGGACACAATGGATAAGAATAATGATGCATTTCAGGACAATTGAAAAAATCGCAAGATAAGGAAATCCAACCTCCATGTACAGTTCATAAAATTCCATATAACTCTACCCCTACCACAACTTTGTCTTGAAATCAAAATGAGAAGCATAAGAGTTTTATGGAGTTATGTTTTTCTGCCCAAATCCTGGCAAGGGCATTCCCACTTCCCTCTCTTTGTCAGTGAGAACCTGTCCCACTGTAAGGGAAGTTAAATTAATTTATTTTTTCTCTCTCTAATCCTTACATATTTTAGAAGCCACTAGGCTTTCTCTGCCTCAGTTTGCTATTGAAAACTGTATGAGCAGTAACTTGCCATACAGCAGTCTGAGGAGGACACAAGTTCCTCCTCTGTTCAAATACGGTGGAGATCATACAAGTCCTTATGAAAAATTAGCTTAGTTACATGTGGAGGCACAGACAATCCTGTCTTAATCAAGGGTGCTTTTATAGAGAAGACAAGTGGAGTGTTTCAAACTTCTGGAATTCCTTTTGGAGCTGTATATACTTTCTGTCAGAGATGTCATATTTATGGCTGCACACCTAAAACTTTACCACTCTGAAAAATGAAAATATTTGTTTTTAAATAAAAGTGAATATTAGCATCTCATTATGTTGTAGTTAAAACTAAGACTGAGCATAAGGACATAGGAGCTATATTTTTATTGGTAATAATATAATTTTCCTCATTATTTGAACTGCATTAATGAAAAAAGAAAAAAATAAAAAAGAAACAAAGACATATTAGCGGCAGAAGGGAAAGGGTACTGATTGTCAGACCTTACATGACATTTCTGAATGTAACAGAAGTAAAAACATCACTTCTTTATGGTTAAAAAGGGAAATGAAAATTAATTTTAATAAGAATATTTTTGAGTCAGAATGGGAAATGAAGTGTGCAGGACTGAGCAATACAATTTGGCCAATAACTAAGGGCACTAGTTATTACAGGTTAGAATAACTAGTTAAAACCTCACTGGTGTAGAAAGCCAGTGTTGTATCAATATTGATCTTAGGAAACTTGGAACATGCAACCATACAGTTGTGAGAATCAACCCAACAACAGGAACTTCAATATGCAACATTTACTCATGAGAAACAGTTTTCCACATATGCAGCATCCTGCTAGTTTTGTCAATTTAATTATTCATCTTGAATAAGGGTAGTTGAATATGCAAAAACATGTTTATGAAGCGTTTGTTTCTTGTAATGAAAAAATACTGCACATTTTATAGAGAAAGTCCCAGTAGAGGATTTTATATTCACATAAGCTTATAAATTTTCAAGACAAAGAAATTGGGTGTAAAACTACACCTGGAGAATGAAATTAATTCTGCTTTCAACAGACAGGAAAAAGGCTCTCTAGCCAAATGGAAGCATGCAACATGAAATGCCATGTGGAAGAAATGTAGGATTTGCTAATCAGCTGTTTTAAAAATATAAAAATAGTTAACTAATTTGTTAAACACATACACCCCAATCTCCTTCAGTAAAGAACTGAAAGACATTTCCTTTCTTTTTCATCATGGGTAATGACAGCCTCAAGAACCATACAAAGTTCTCATGAGAAGCTGTTAGTATTTTTCATAATTAGCAGCATGGCATGATAAAAACAGGGCCAGGCATTTGTACTTTAGAGATGTAGAAACAAGCTTCTGTGTTTTGCTTGCTTCTAAAGTAAGTCAAAATTCTTAGACAAGCTTGTGCTTCAGTGTTCATAGAACTGAATTTTTTAAAGAGGGCATGATAATCACTGAAATACCCTTATTTCTTTGCATGATATCCCAAATACCATGTAGTACCAGTTCCCTTTCCAGATTCATGTATAAAATCAAAAGGACAGAAAGAAGCAGGATGTGGGAGCAGTGACGGCTCTCCTGCCTTTCTCAGTATGGGAAATCCTTGCACTAAGGAAACACTTACTCTAAACCTGGAGTACTGGGTGGGAGCACTGCAACTCTCAGGACTTTATCTGCACTTCAGCCCAACCCAAGCTCTACGTTTTAATTTCTATAACCTAAGGTATGTCTATTTACTTTATTTTTCTCAGTAGAATATGAACAGTTTATGAATGGGATTAGTTGTAGAATAATCATATGTGTAAAAGAAAACAGGTGATAAATGCATAGCAGAAAGCTGAAATGAAAAAGGAAAATGGACAAAGAAAATGATGGAATCTTTTCAAGGTTATATTAAGTTGTTCTATATGTCAGTTTGAATAAACTTTATTGGTTTAAATTGTTTCCAGTTCTTAAGATGAAAAAAGTCCTGGTTAAATTTCTCATTGAAGCAATTGAAGCTATTTTTCTTCGTTCCTTTAAAAGTCTGACTTAAATTGGCTCTCATTATTCACTAAAAAAAATTCTAATCTATCAAAAGGAAAGAGATATATTCAACTGCTATTTTATGAAGGACAAGTACTCATCATCTCAGTTTATAATTGCACATTACAAACACAAGGCTTAATTGCTTTAAACAAGTAGGGTTGTTTGACGCAAACACAGACACCAGAACCAAACTGCCTGAATTGACTTTTTATCCTACAAGAGGCTTGCTATTCTGATGTGCTATTTGCCTGAAAGGGTGACTTATAATTCAAATAACTGTGACATGGATGTTCCCTGAGGGGAGAGAGAAATCATTTAAGTTGTGGTGACTTCCAAAGCCTTGCTTGTAACCTTAAGGCTGCCATTGTCTGCACAGCTGCTGTACCCTGATTCTACAGAACAAGGCTGCTTATGGGTCTGCACTTGTTTCACCATACCTCAAAACCCTTTAGCCACAGGGTGAACTTTCATAGAGGCTCAGGATACTGTTCATCTGCTTCATAAGGCTCAATAAAATAAAAATTGGAGGTCAGGTAACTGCTCTTTGCTGCCAATGCTGAGGCTGAGGCCATTAGGGACTCCAGTACTAACATTTTGATTAGCAAGTTCCAGCACACAGTGAAATCTGACACACTTAGAGAATATTTTGATTTCTAATTCATGATACTTTTACAGATATAGCTATATTACCATAACATACTGATACCTTAGAATTTTTAGGATTTTTAGCTTTTTGTAGATTTTAATGTTGCTGGGGTTGCTTTAGACCATTACTTTCTCACAGCTTGTGTGCCACATTCCTGAAGCTTTGGCTTAACCATTTTTTGACTCTCTTTTCAAGGCAATAGATTTTAGCAAGGACATTCCATTGGGATGTGCACCTGGACCAGAATAGCAAGAGATAAGGCAGACAAAACAAGATAGAAGGTTGAAGGCCCTTGGAGGTGCTCCAGTGGGGCAGTTCTGAGGGTGGTACCTGGGCAAAAGGATCTTAGGATTAGATATGATAATTACTAAAAGACATAAAAGTGTAAGAATTCTGTATGTAGGCATGTGCCTTTGTACTCTATGTACTCTTCATTAAAAGAGCTGCTCTCTATTATATCTAATATTGCCTGGAGAGTCCTTTTCTCCAGATTTTTTTTAGGCAAAATACAGAATACATTTGCACAAATCCTCAAGATATTAATTACCTAACTCTGTTTCTTTAACACATTTTAATATGCAATGTCTCCTTCCAGATATGAGACAAAGATTCCAAAATATGCCTCTCATCTGAACATTGAATATCACCTGCTCTCATAATTTTTGTATGCTGTTATTTGAACAATCATCAAAATTTCATGCATAAATCAGAAAACCCTATCTGTTGCCATTCCAAATACTATTTTGACTAACTTTGACTAATATATCATTCTAAGTGAAATTTACACTTGTCTTTTGCATAATATAGTCAAATGATTCTTCCTTCATTTGTTATAACTCACTGCAAAATTTTAACAAGGAAATCTTACAGACTTTTGAAGAACACTGTTAAGAGTAAAGGTAAGTCAACATAAGCAATATTGTTCTTGTAGGGAACTTTTTTTTTAATCTGTTAATTGTAACTCTTTCTTGTAACGAAAACTCGTTCTCACTGCTGTACAAGAAAAGCTACTATGTTACGGAACACATTAATTGTTTCAATTTTTACTGGTGAGATTTTCTGAAGGTACTGTCTCAGTCTCTGAAAAACATGCAACTTGACACGCTTTTTATTGCTGTCTTGACTGGTATAATTAGACAGGATGCCCTGTGGCATAGTAGTACTTTGTGGTAATAACATCTTTCCATTTTAAATTTATGCATTAGTCTTAAGCACTATGGCTGCACTTTAGGTAACTAACTACTTTGGGTAAATTGATGCAGTTTTCTTAGTTTTCCTTTACATAGCTGAAAATTTCAGACTGGACCAAAAATTATTCAGCTAATTATTTCAATATGCCTTTGATGAAAGGTCTCTAGTATAGAAACTCAAATATTTAAATTTAAGTAAGCCACTCAAATTAACAAATCATTTTCCATGCAGATTGCCAATGCCATTGCAAAATCAAAGTAGGAAAATCTTGAAATTCACACCAACATTTGAAAAATAAAACTATACATGTAATCTGAAGGACTCACTTTTATTTCCTCATGCTTAATAGTTGGAATTCAATTGTTACTGATATTATTTATGGTGAAGCCTCATCTCTAGTCGTGCCTGTTCCAAAGAATATGCAGAAGAAGGTGCAGAAAAGGATGATAGAGGAGTGGACAGGATAGCCAGTTCTGTCAGAGTAGACAGGAAAAGTTCGATTTCTTTAAACTGATAATGTAAAGAACTTGAATTATGACTTAATTAATTACTTGATTGCCACTTGTAAATATATCAAAAGGTAAATACTAGAGGGAGAAAACATTTTAAATCTAAGGACAAGAATATCCTTCCTTAACTTTCAATAAATTGA